TGTATGTACTTACACAATAGGTGTACTGTTCTCTCTATGTGTTGTACTGTCTCAGTGTGAACATAGATTAAACAGCCAGCCAAACTATTTTGAGAGCCAGGGAATGAGCAGCCTGCTCCTTTATTGACTTATTTGTAGTCCACTGACATTCAAACGGAGTGAAACTATAAACAAAGAAGTTACAAGGCATTTAATGATCTCATACATGCAAGTGTAACATACACAGATTGTCACATAGGACCACTAAGTGTAAACACGGTAAATATAGCTAATGCTAGCTGTGCAATAAGCATCTATACAGGCTAGTATGGCTAACGCTAGCATGTATGCTAACGCTACCGTGTATGCTAAAACTAGCGTGAATTCTAGCGTGAATGCTAACGCAAATGCTAGCGCGAATGCTAACGCATTTTCTCATAGAGTGGCGAAGTCACGCCCATCTACTTCCGGTCCATGGGACCTTATTTCGGAAAGATTATGTATTGAAGTCAATGGAGAGAGAAAACTTATCTTTCGATCCCGTTTGAATTGTGCCACGAATTACACATATGATGTTTGTCAATCTTAAAAAATAATTTCCATGTCAAAAAAGTCACAGTTTGTCGTAAAACTGTTGAAATATAAGACTATGAAAAATACGCAACTAGAAAGACTACAAATCCCAGAGTCGCTTAAGTGATGTCATAACTGATGTCACAATTGTTTTCCTCCACTAAATAAGAGATAGCTAAGATAAGATAACTTTAACAAGATGCCTGTGTGCTTAGTACCAGGTTGTTATCATACCAGCAATGGGTGTTGCTCGTTCTTTCGCTTCCCGTCTGATGAAAGGACCAGGAGTGGCTGGATCAAGTTAGCTACCTAGCTAGTAGCAAGCACGTTAGTTAGCATTACAGCCTTAGCCTTGTCATTTTTATCAGCCTTAACATGAAGTAACATTAAGTAACCCAAAATGTTAAACAGTAAGAGTAGTAGTCATATTTCGTGAACCCTTTGAAGAGTACTGTCACACCGGTGTGATCATTCTATAATACACCATTTAAGCCTGGGGGAGAAATGCTAACGCTAACGCTACATTAGCATCGGCGATCTATTCTACTTCATGCTATCTGCACAAATGGTTGACATTAAACATTAAAAAGATCAGGCAGTTCAGAAAGAATCAAAGGAAGGCAGGCAGCGTTGCATGACATTCTTCTGGACGTGTTTCATTGTGGTGATAGTGAGGGTAGTCAATCCGTTTTTTGGCAAGACAGTAGTGACGGCCATCTTGGTGACGTGTGTTTTTGTGCGAGACCAGAGATGTAGTTCATTGAGCGTTTCACACAAAAAAATGTGTTACTTCACAGTTTTACGACACATTATTATTTTTTTGACTTGCAAAATTATCATAGGCTATGTGTAATTCGTGGCACAATTCAAACGGGATCGAAAGATAATCTTTCTCTCTCCATTGACTTCAATACATAATCTTTCCGAAATAAGGTCCCATGGAGGTCCACCGGAAGGGGAGGGACTTCGCCACTCTATTGTGTTTAAACATCTCCAAATGTCATCACATAAACACAATACATGTTACTAATCCTTACAGTGTAAGTTCAAGGCTTAAACTTACACTTACAGTCATTGTTTTCTGACGGAATTTACCCTTTTACTCTTCAGGTTGCATCGGGAAAATTAGTAGCAGTCTACTGCCATGCTATTCAGTTCACTTTCTCCTACTTCCTGTACCCGGTTTCCTGTCTAACCTTCAGTACAAATTTTAGAAAAATATAAATGCGCAAATATGAAACACACAGGTCAATATCACCTTGCTATTGGTAGCTGAACTGTCAATACCCCAAAACATATTCTTAGATATAAATATCTAATTTTGAGTTATTTAGACACAATTAACGCTTATAGTTTCATGTCTTGTTACATAAGAATAGATCATATTTGTTAAAGGTGGGGTAGGTAAGTTTGAGAAACCGGCTCGAGATACACTTTTTGTTATATTCCATGGAATGCTCTTAACATCCCGATAGCAATGAATATCTTAAGTGCTTTGACAACAAATCCATAAAAAATGTCATCTGTGGAAGCCGTAATACTGTAAAAAGTACGACCAATCATTTTAGCCGGCCCGGCTAAAATAACTGGATGGCCTACCTGCCTGTCAGCCTTCCATCTCGTGCACAAACTTATCTCGTGCCCTCATTGGTCATGTGCGCGTTCGTGTGTGTTGGAGGAGGGGCTCTGTAAGGAAGTGGCAGATTTTTTCCGGCTGTGTATTTTCAAATTCTAGCGCACTCGAGCTGGTTTCTCCAAAATGACCTACCCCACCTTTAAGTGTTATTATGGGAGAATTACTATTCTTGTGGTAGTACTGCCTTATTAGGCCCATATTGAGCAGAGCATATTAAGACCAAAGCTCATGTACAAGAACTTCTTTACTTGCAATAAATAAGCACTAATTAGAGGGTTTTTGAGGAAAGACTCTCAACTAATGGCCTATTACTTGTAGAATATGGTCATGTAGAATAAGGCATTAATAAGTGTTTTATAATGACTAATAAAGAGCCAATATACTGCTAATATGCATGTTAATTAACAACTAGTTGATGGTTAATTTGTGTACCTTAATATAAAGTGTTACCCAAAGTTCAGTTGAGAAGATCACAGAGCTGCACATCACAAGTGTTTAAATGTTAAATAGTATCCAAGGTGGTTTAGGAAAAAAACATTCACTGGAGAAATATGGCTGTCAAAAAGAATACAGTTTGACAATAGTTTGAGTTTAAAAGATGTAGAGAGAATGAACTCCATTTAGCTGATAAGTTGTTTCTTTCTTTACTTCTTTACTCGTCCTTCCAACATCTTCTCCCATTGAAATGTATTATAGCTAAGTTGTTCCACAGTGCTAAATGTAGAATCATAATGAGACGGTTACTGTTTTCCCCTGAATCATTTCTATAGGCCAGCCGTCATGTGCATTTTGATTAAACTAAGCAATTGGTGCAGGAATGAGTCTGCTAACAGGGAAACAAGTTAGCATTTACACACTTTTGGTTCTCTTGTATCAAAGTTAATGTTTTTTTTAATGTGTTTTTAGATTCGATGCCAGCAATAAGGTCCACAAGTTATGTTATTTTCAAGTTTTTTCGATGACAAAAAATCCCTTATTAATTACCCTACTCTTGAATGTCCATGTGTCATACGACAGCGGTTGCTAACAAGTGACAAGATGAGACAACTAAATGTCATCACCCCAAACATTAGCCGCCTTTTTCATTATGCGAACGGTTGCGCACAGAAATGTGCCCATGATGTAGTTGGTTTATAGTCTATTGCAGGGGTGTCCAAACTACGGCCCGAGGGCCAACTGCGGCCCGTGATCCATTTTTAATTGTAAATTAAAAGCAAATTCTAAAAGTATAATGGAATTTGCTAACTTATATCTTAACTTATGAGGCAATATACCTCATCTCTGGTGAGTGGCCCGGCCCTTCTTTTATCTTTATGTATGCAGCCCTCAGTGAAAAATGTTTGGTCACCCCTGTTCTAAGGTAAGCTTTTGACTTCTGGTGATCGCATTTACTCTTCAATAATCATAAAAGTTCTGTTAATATGTGGAGGTTAAACTGCTGAAAAATGTTCAAGTATCGTGAAAGTGTGTTTGGCATAGATGTAATTTTTCTGCAATATTTCAAAATCTAATCTAAAAATCCTATTGCTTTTTGTAGAGAGAGCCCTTGTGATGCTTACTTTACAATGCTGAGCCTACACCACTCTATAGCACCACTCTATACCAGCCCCTTAGCAACAACCCTGGCAACCATGAACATTTTTGCATCTATATGATTTTGTTACGAGACCTAAAAGATTATACGGTATAACTGTCCAACAAAAGATCATACACATCAACTGAAAAACATTCATTCATATACTTTTTTTGTAATCAAAACACATTTTAAAGTAAAAGATATCCCAAAAAATTGCATTTCTATTGGGAATAATAATCTTGATGATCATGTGACATGTATGCTGGCCATTAGAAACTAATGGGGGAAAAAGTAGCAATCTGACAATTTCAGAGGCGTTATGGTGAAACTACTACATCACTACTACAAAGCTATTAGACATTTGGATGTGAGACTGGGTTGATGCCCTTTTTAAAGATTCCAACTTTTTATTGTTATGTGCAATGCTACACTGTAGTAGTTGTTGGCAATGGACATATGAGGCCCCACCCCCCAACAGTGCAACATACAATAAACCAAAGGCTAAAGAAATAAGGAAATAAAATAGTTTCAAAAAATAATCATAAGTGATACAACGGTGCAAGAAATATGCAGGTATAAGTAAACTATGTACAATACATGTTAGATAGTTTGCTTATTTCTACATTTTACTTGTCATTGTTTGGTCGTCTGATTTTCCTACAGAGGATTGTTCCATTGTTTAGTATAGACAACACTGGTAATACCAAATACATTTGATAATCAGTGACTTGCAGATATTCTTGATTCTGACTTGTATTCCTAAAGACATTTATGCATCTCCTTTCCCTCCAAAGTTACATCAGGTTGGAGTCAGAGCGACTGAGGCTCTTAGGAAGGCAACGCTGCGTTCAAGGCCAGTCGAGGTAATTTACTGGATAACTTTGCAAGCTCAAGTCACGATGATTATTGGTTTTCATGTGAAGGATTTCTTGTGCCCACAGACATTAAAACCAATTGAACACAGTCGGCAACTCAGACGCGCTGTTTTGGAGATCATTTTTTGACTGTTGCCTCGTTTTCAAGCTTTGAATGTCTCATTAATCCACATCATGTAAACCTTGTGAGTGTTGGTATTACTAAAAACAGTGCCGGGAGCTTTTCACACCACAGGAATGAAAACATAAAAACATATATAGAAATAAGCCCAGCAGTCCCCTCTGACCGAGTGTGTCAAACTCACAGCTGCTCTAGGCTTTTCTAGAAATGTTACGAGCTCGTGTAGTGTGATATGCTTACCTCCATAATGAACTCTCTGTCACACTGTTGAGGTTGAAGTCAAATAGTTTGGTCAGCATCAAAATCACCTGCAGAACGAGACAAAGAAGTATAGCAATCAATACTGAGACCTATTGATCAAATGTCTGATGAGAAAGTTAAACAGTTTCAAAGCTAAATTGACAGGAAAGAAAATAAACAGCAGTCAAACTGTGAGAGACCCATGGATCTTTTATGGTGGAAGCAATGCTTGGTCTTTGAATGACCTTTCTCCCACGTGTTGTGGATTTCTTATTCTATAAATCAGATTTCATCTGAAGTAGATATTGCAAGCAAGTTGTTCCAAGTTAGATATTGTCAATTGGGACCAGATGTCAAGTGTGGGTATTATTCTATGGCTTTGCGTTTCAAAGTTTTCAACCAAATATAGCTTAACCTAACTTTTAACAGTATTTAACCTGTTAAGCCCTGAGCCTGTTTTTCAGGTCTCAGGCTCGAAAATGACATTCCCAGAACAAATGACCATACAGATGGAGCCTCTTATTTTGGACCCCAGCATACAGCTTCCTGCCGACTGCCAGCCAGTTGCCAGCCAGTTGCCTGCCAAAGACCAGTATTCAGGAATGTTAGGCCCTCCCACTATTCTCCAATTTCAGGGTTTAACCAGGAGATGGCGCTATATATTAAATAACTAAGACTTAGTTTTTCACAATAGAAAATGCAGATATTATATAAAAAACTAAAGTTAAAATCTTGTTTTTAATGCCCCAAGAGCAATAACATCTTGTCACAAGCTTTTTGGAAGAAAAAGACTGACTCAAGAGACCTGTAGTTGACTAATTACAGGCCTCAATAAAGTTCTGCCATTGGTTGTGAAAAACAACGGTGGACATAGTGGAAAGTGAAATTGACATTGTCGAATTTAATAAAAATACAAAATAATGTATCTGTGTACGTGTTTTACTATGTGATCTGCACTTATCAAACATCTAATTAAGGCGAGACACCCCAGGTGAATAGGGTATTTTTAACTTAAAGATATCAGCTAAATATTTCTCCAGTTAATTACTTACAATAAGGCAATTGTTTTTTGTATTACAAGTTTTCTGAAATAGCATGTTTAAATATCCAAATGAACCATTATTTCATGAAATATGCGCATATTTTAACACATTTCAGGAACCGAAATCTGAACTTTGGATAAAGCCAGGATCAAAATTATTGTTTCATTTTGTAGTCATATTAGTATCTAAGGCTTTTACAGAAGGGATTTTGGATATCTCTTTGTATCACTCCATAAATCAGAAAATACTGTCAACAGCCCTAAAATATCAATTTTCACCATGTTTTTAGTTATAAAATGTTATATAATTCAGGCTATGAATTATATATGACCAAACCCTTCTGTAAAAGCCTTCATAATATTGATAGGAATATAACTGGAAGGTTTGGTGTATGTAACTGCTGAGTGATTCTACAATTTAGGGTACATTCCATGTCCATTGATGATAATTATAATTATTCTAACTATTTTCTTCAAAAATATCATATTTTGCCTATTATTGGAAAGCATGTTATAATATCACACAAACATTATGTGCATCCTATGCTTTATTTAGCTTGAAATGTGTCATGATGTTCTTAAATTGTCAGTTTTTGCTATGTCCGTTTTTCAGTTGAGGGTGTCTTGGATTCAAAATAATGAATAAAAACCATTAAAGTAAATTTAAAAAATGATTCATTTATTTCAAAAGTCTAAATACTAAAGAATAATAACATATTTTTAATTGATTTCCCCCTTTAAATAATTTAAATATCTTAATATATGAATGTCCGCAAAAGTTCTGTCAACTATGTTACTAACAGAACTTCCCCCTTTAACTCAAAAATTGTTTGTCCCAATACCATGTCACCAGCATTACATGATGCCATGTTCCTCTTTGGCAGACATTTTGAACACACTGTGGTGATTGACCTCTACATTTTTACAATATTTTATGTATAATAGCACATGGTCAATTAATATACTCATTGACAATCAACAATGTTACGTACATTGTTATGGTTTACAATTGTTTAATGATTTTAATTCAATTATATGTGCAAATGTGATGTTAACCTGTTCAAGAAAATGACATGTGGTCATCCAGGCAAGGCCTACCATTGAAATGATGTGTCAAAATAGGGAAATTGTCAACTAGGTTACCTGTCAACTGAGTTACCCAGTACTGTAATAACTGTAGTAACTTAGTTGACAGGTAACCTAGTTGACAATTTGTACGACATGTAGACGTCATTACACATCATTATCAATGGAATTTTGCACTTCTGCCTTGAAATTAACATAGTGCTGATGGTTAATAATGTGTCCAGTCAACTATGTTATTTGCGTCAAATGTTTGACTTTCATTGTCAACTATGTTGCACCTCGTTTTTTCAAATTTAAAATATCTAAAATAGTGCTTCTGATATCCTTTATAGTATAATGTATATCTACACAGGTTGGAGTTTTACATGACATCTCTTAAAACTATCAAAATGACCTGTATGGTAGTTTTATAATACAAAATATCCCTAAACTTAATGACAGTGCTGAACATATCACATGAAAAAACAAAACTTTAATACAATTATTTTTTAAACTTTAAAAAATCTTTGGATATATGGTAGAATAGACTCAAGAGCCTTTCAAATTTGATTTTACTTGAAGTGCAGGACTTAATCAAATGATTGTAATGACATCAAGTTTGTCCGTAACATAGTTGACAAACTGAGTAGTGAAAACATCCTTTCCCTTAAAATAAAAAAATATATAAAAATGTTTAAGCTTTGCAACTAGTGGATATGTTACACTGAGGAATATACTAACTTGAACCACTGATTGTTCTATCTATACATTTTATTTGGCATTAGTAAATAATTATGCACATTTACAGATATTTTACATGATATGAGTGATAACACGTGTTATAAGGGCTATTTCGCACAATAGGTGTGCCTTGAGATTTTTACTTGTCCTTTGGTGTGCCTTGGGCACAAAAAGTTTGGGAACCACTGCTGTAGAGAAATGTAAACGTTCACCATCCCCCACCCGCCTACTGTATGTTGCTTTTTGACATGTAAATGGGTAACTACCCCCCTCTGAGTGAATACCTGTTGTACCTGTCCGGGGCTAAGCCCATAGGACGATGCTCTGATGTCATCACCCTCGCACATTGGTCATATGTTTACAAAAAACGATGTTAACACTTTCTCGTTCTTAATATATGCTATATTTAGGGTCGATATGTGTTGAATTTACTTTAAAATAGCAGATCACTGTGATTCACTTCTCCGCGGCTCCTCCGTGCAGAGAGGCCCCCCCCCCCCCTTGACAATTCACGAGCGTCTAACTCTCTCCCCCCTGTGAAGAGATATCACAGGGGGGGGTTGGGACACACACATTCCGATGGCCAATTCGTTTTAAACAAAGAGTGGGGTGGGGGCTGGTGAACGGTATGGTCAATGTTTGTAAACACTGTGACATTTTGACTTTATTTGATCATTTCAGTTAAAAACTAACGTTCATATTTCATATTACTGTTTTGCCTGGCTGGACCTGTAATTTACAGGAAAGGAGTGCACGCTACTAAAGAGACACGCTACCATGGAAACCAAACAATGGTGTTGCTGTATTGAAGTCCGAGTGGAAACAGTCATATATTTGGAGCGTTATGTTAGAATGAAACAGCGAGGTCGTGACTCACAAAAAAAAAGTGTTACTTCACTAACTGTAAGCTTGTCACTCAGAGTAACCTACAGTTAACTTAACTGTTGGAAAAGAAAGATCAGAGTTAGGAGTGTGAACACACAGCTGAGAGCTGCCGTTTCATTCTGACTGTTTAAAAAACGGTAACAACGGACTATTTTTCTTAGCGGATGCATGTCAATTTAAATCAATACATAGAACTATGTTTTAAATCAATAAAAATATTTTCTAAATCCATAAAAGCATTTTAATTAATATTGGGAGTCATGTCGTTACTTTGTTGAGAATGTGGCCATGTAATAAGCGGGATAATTTGCAGCGACTTGGTCATTATGGGGAAAAATAACACCCAGGGATCAAGATCCCTCCGCGATGCGGAGGGATCAGTAATTTTTAGTGAATTACTGAGTTTAGGCACGTTAATAACATTTTAATGAAGTTGAATACAGTATATTCATATTTGTCAGTGATTTCATGTCAATTCGGCGAACATAAACGATTAAATTAGGATTAAAAATCGAGAGCCGGCTGCTGTTCGTTACGGTAACCCAACTAGGACACTTGACACAGTGGCTTTTGGCAAAGCACACAAAGAAAACAAAAAAAACCGAGAGAGATGAGTTATTGTTATTACAACGTGACTTCACTATTATTTAACAACTATTTTTATTGGGTTCTTTTATTTGGGGTTAAGTACATTGTCAGAATAAGTGAGAAATGGATTTAACTTCTGTTAGACAGCTATCATACTGAATAAATATTTATGCAAAAATGTATGGCATTAATAATGTATATCTAATTACATTTAAAAATGTATGGCATTAATAATGTATATCTAATTACATTAACTGTGAATGTCTTTCATTTTATTTAAAATGAAATAAAATTACATAAAACATTTTCCATAAAAAAGTTGATTCAAGAACAAATCAGTACTTTTCTTATATGACTATTATTGCTAAATTTGAAAGGTCTTTACCAGCTTTGGAATTATATATATATATATATATATATATATATAGCACCTTCTGCCATCCCATCTCTACTGACATATGGATCTTAACAAAGATCCGCTATACATTAGTACCAGATATACTGTACACGGACATTTTAGTGAACCAGACCAGCTGTTTCCGCCGGGTCTTCGCTTCCCGGGCATCACGTTGTTTACAAGTGTGTTCAGATGCTAAATGACAAGTGCAAGTGACAATTGTTGTCGTCTTCTCTGTGAACGTTTTTTTCTCCGTTATTTTGCCATTTTCAGATTTCAATTTCGAGCGGAAAGCTAACCAGGAAGTAATAATTACTTAAGCGGAGAACGGAGAAAGTAAACGTTACAGC